GACCCTCGCCACCGATAACTGACGGCGATGTGGTCTATTTGGATTCGGCGCTGGTTTGATGGTCGGCACCACGTCGTCAAGCGATGTCCGCTGTTCCGGAAGTTCGGACTGCAAAGGAACTGCCTGTGATCGGCACACATCTGAAGTAGGTAGTCTCCGTTGTCCGTGCGTCTAGTGTCCAAACCAAGACGACTACCCAATCGGGCCTCAGCAGCGCTTAGTCTACCTACCTGGGCGTTCATATTACCAGCAACCACAACGATATCTGAGCTTTTAGCCTGTTGTAGAAGGGCACCTAGAGCGTCATAGAAACTGTCCTTGGCAGATTCAGAGCTACAGTCAGTTGGGGCGTAAGCAGAAACAATAAACAAGGTGCGATGAACCTCACTTCCTCTAGATTCTCTCACCGATGTTGCCAAACGAACCGCACAGAGGCGACTGTCAACGGGTATCCAATCAAGCAGAGACGCTTTCGCTCGTTCGCTCAATACAATACCCACCCCAGCATATCCAGCTGCAGCGGCCTCTGCATCACCAGAGGTGCGCAGTCGGAACCTGGAAGAGAGCGAGGGGGCAGTCAGTTCGATTACAGTACTTGCGTCCTGCGTCCTTGTTTCTGACAGACAACATACATCAATACAGGGGGAATCCAACGTACGCGCAAGAGCCACCTGTTGACCTGCTTGCTTCAGTGTGCGAACATTGAAAGTGGCTAAATAGACAGGCTTCCGGGGTTTGAAAACAGACTTCGAAGTGTTTAGGGTTGTAACTGAGCTCGGACGTGTAGAAGCTGCAGCCGAGTGTGATGCAGGGCGAGCAAAACGGTCAGTCCTAGAGCTGACACCTGCGGATAAAGTATTCAAATTTGGGCGGGGGAGGGCGGAAGACGGAAAACGTGAAACTGAAAGAAGGGAGGCGTCAGCAGTAGCATGTTTTCGCTTACCCGCCCTGCTGTATGCAGCAAGTAAGGCGACCCGGCTGATGGCACCACGCGACGGCTGATGTGGCATTAGAGTATTGTTAGTTGTGTAGGTCATGGTTGTACGAGGGCTGGGATACTGCCAGGGCGCCCACACCTAGACAGGAGGACGATTAGGGTCCTCAACCAAAGCCTTTGGCTCAAAAGCCTAACCGCAAAGCAGCGGTGTTTGGCGGGGAAGCGCAAATGCATTACCTTTTCTACGGAACAAGTCGCCATACATGTTCCAACCCCCAACCTGGAGGGCCAGGAGACTGTGTTCGTCAGACCTCTAACCATTGACCAACCTGGTATGAGACTCTGCGAGTGTCGCGCGGACACCCCCAAGTATAGCTCAATGGGTCTCCGAGGTACACAAACCGCCACACCATGGCAAAGTCCAGTCTCTTCGTGACAAGGTCGCGAGGTCGAAAGCACATGACTTGGCAGGAAGGCATGAAAGAGATCACGAAGAGTTGGGGTACTCGTGACCCAATTTGTGCTTGGCTGAAGATGTTGCAAGAAATGACGGCTAATCGATGTCAGTGGCGTTCGTGCTGTCAGTCTTTCCCAGATTGTCTGATTGAGTGGCTGGAGGCGTAGACACCTCAGAATGCTTGACATAGGCCAGCAATAGGTCCCCACCCTCACCCACTCCTTCTCGTACGACAGTGAAGCATCGGTGTCAACAGTGATGTTGCTGTCTTTGATGATGATGATGATGATGACCACTCGATGTGAGGAACTCAGGCGAGAGCTCTTGCACGTCCGCGGGAATTGGTGCCCTTAGAAGGATCAGGAATTTATGGGGGACACCAGTGCTCCACAGTGAGTGCCATAGTGTCTGACGGCTCACATAGTCAAAGGCCGCTTTCGATTTAAGGAGGGTAACCCTTGTTGATCATTGTTCCAGGATCTGCCGGAGGGTGAAAATGTGGTCGATGCATCCCCTCAGAGGACGAAACCCAGCATTGTTCTGATAAAACTGCCTCTCCCTGTGTCCAGTCGACCTTTAAAGGATAAGATCAGAGAGCCATAGCTGCCGGGCGAATGCCATGGTGACTTTCACACTGCGTCCTTGTAACTACCGATGTGCCCGATTTTTCGGGCCCTCAAGGGTGACCGCCAAGTCCAGGGTGAAAACCTTGTAGATCTGCAGTATGCAGACGATCATGTCCCGTCAATAAGAGAGCGGATCCTTCCGTGGTACGACAGTGTATGTGCCTCCGTGACCCGTTGACCTATAGTGCTTGGTGTCCGTACCGGGTTGGTCGGTAATGAGAGCAACAGTCTCCTCCCCCCCCCCCCCCCAAGTTTGGGAGTTGGAACATGTGCGGTGACGTGTACTCTAAAAAAGATTTGCTGGCATTTCCAGCCAAACTCCACTGCCTTGTGGCCAGGCTCTTGAGCCAAAAGCCTTTATCGAGAACTGTACTCGTCCTTCTGTTCAGATCTGGACACCCTGTGGTATCCCAAACCACGTACAATAATGATTCCTGCAACTAACAATACTGTCACGCCACATCGGTCGTCACGAAATGACTGGACCTTATCGCGGTGTGCACCACGCTGGGAAAGATACTTTCTATCCGGAGTTATCCGGGCTTATTTCCCGAGCAAGCAGCACTAACATTGTGCCCCCTGCGGGCAATAGGAATGCTCAAGTCGGTCGTCTGAGCTCCTTCGAATCACATCTCAGCGGTCGATTGAGGATCGATGCACGTCGCACAGACAACGGAGAGCTTCTGCAATTGTGTGCTGATTATCAGCTGTTTCTGGCCAGCATGAATGTTCAGCATAAACGTTCGAATCACATAACCTGGCGGCCACCAACTGCGAATCAGTCGTGGACCCATCTGGATCACGTGGCCACCGGTAGAGGGCTATAATTCAAAACTACCGTTACTTCTGGGGTACACAACTCGATTCCGATCACGCCGTGATGGATGCACGCCTGAAAGTTCGTTTCCTTCATGTCCTCAAGTGAGCAAAAACATGCCAATCCACCATCCTTCGTTGAAGAAAAGTGGTTAAGAGCGCTGAACAATTCACAGTCGAACGCGTTCCAGGATTGCGAGTCGTGTACACACAACGTTGATATAATTGAAGTGCGAAAATGTGGTTGATGCAGCCACTACCCGGTCAAAATCCCACTTGATGTTCCTGGGTCAATATTTTGTGTGCCACCGTAAGACGGCGCAGAAACAAACGACACCAGGAGGCTTCTTACAGTGTGAATCAAACTGACTCTTCCCTGTGGTGGCTACATTTACTTCAAATCCTTTTTTGAAGATGGACGGTATTGTGGACTCAAGAGTTATTTGAGATGGCTTGTCTCTCTTAGCTGGATACAACCAAGCTAGACTTGCACGGCCTGAAGATACCACCGCCATTATTATTATTATTATTATTATTATTACCGACATGACATTAATGTTCTACATTAATGGTTCGCTGCCGTACGGTGCCATCGCCGTTCTTGCACAGAGCAGGTGACATTATACCGGGCAAAGTGGTGAGACGTTTCATAATTTCTGCTGGGTGTTCTATAGTAAGTAGACTGTTTACGATCATAATGTACACGTCGTGGTTTAAGGAATCCCAGTAAAACGATCTCATTGGTTTCTTCCGCGAACTAATGGTTTCGGCGAAGAATTCCATACGTTAGCTATGAGTTTTATGCCGACCAGCAGGTACTGGCTGCGAAACCCGTACGTGTCATTTCAAATGCTAACTCATTCACCTCGTAAAAATGTGTCTGATATGACCATTTCTTGCAAAAACACGGTAGAAGTCACTGAAAGTATCTGTGAGTGGCGCTTAGAATGTGTCTGAAAGCGATTTAGAACAGAGTTCGAGATATCGAGAATGAACAACACGTGAATCATCATCATGACCGGAAGGTCCGTGGTTCGAACCCGACCTCTGCCTATCGACTTCTACTCTCTTGGCAAGGGAGACCTGGCAGTATCCCACCCCTCATGCTTCCTTTTGGTGGCATGGCAGCTAGGCACCCAAAGGGTGTTGCAGCTGAAAGTTTACCGTAATTAGCTGTGGTACCTTGAATACTTTTAACGTGGAGGCCGGTTAATATTTTGTCCAAATTACAAAAATGATGGGCGACGAACGACCTCATATGGAATTACTACTTAGCAGGTTCAGGCTAGCTTCGGGCGAGGTAGCTGACAGGTCAAGTGACTTACAGACCTAGGAAGAAATGGGAACAACTTGCACCTTGAGGTATACATTTGTTAGACTTACTGAAAAACCGCGCAACACTGAAGAGGAAATGATATGTAAGACGGAACGGTTCGAAAAGTAGTAGCAACGCCCACCACCATCCACGGGGTTGGCTGTCGGCAACTCGCAGCACACGCTGATTAGGCGGCACTAGATTAACCTAAGGAAATATAGTAAACCGTGGAAAATTACTGAAGGAAGTGGATTCTCCGTCCTGACATTACCGCGACGGCGCACATGGGGGAGTTCTTCTAAGGGGTCGGGGAGTCCAAGGGCTTTATTTACAGCGCGCTGAAATAAGGAAAATAGTGAGCTGTGTCAATCTTACTTCCAAATCCCAGCTGCATTCTTCCAAGAGACTATGAGCAGCGGCCCGATCAAGCGAACCAGATATTTCTTGTAGATGTTGTATGCTTTCATTCTGCTCAGTGGTCAGAGAGCTGTCGGTGTTTTCTCCGTTGGCTCCATACGCTTCTTCACCCTCAGACATCAGCTGATTAGCGTAGGGACCGCAGTGGCGCGGACCGTCGGCGGAGCGCGTGCAACCCAACACACTCATTCCGACGGTGAGGCACGGCAGGTACACTGATTTCCCAAATAGTATTGCACACCGTAGGCAATGAGACCCATTGACGGTTGATATCTCAAATGAGGCACAACAACCTCGAATAACTCGACGTGGCTTGAGCAGTACTTTTGAAATTTGGTGGCTTCGTCGCAGACCTCTTCGGGTTCCTTGGTCGCACAATGCTTTTAACTGCAAAACCTTTGCGCTAGAATGAAATTTTTTGCGCCAAAATGCTTCATTTTGTTGCACATTTGAGTGAACCGAAAATCACCGAAATCTACGTTCATTTTCGCGACTCACAAAATTCCACTTTCCAGTGGTGTAGTGTCTGTAATCCGTTGTCACATTTACCATTCTTCCTGAACTTAAACCATACTTTGTAACTATCGTTCACATTGTATCATGACGTTTGTTTTAATGTTACGAATACGCAATTTTTCGGTGCGACCTGTTGACCTCTTGCTGAAAGAGCGTATTTACGCTCCGTTGAACTGTTTGTTGACTGCTGAATCAGTGGGACTAAATCTCTGTGTTTGTGTCAACTGTTGAACGTCACAATAAATCCCTGTGACATTTTTTAGCCGTGAATAATTTTCCTACCGTGGAATATATCACGCACGCGGAACCATCTGTGGGAAATTCCGACAAGTGAATATTTCCTTTCACAGCTAGTTACTGCGTTTGGATAGGTGTAGTGGACTATTGGATCTACACATTCGTGAGTCCCCCATTTGACTACTCATTCTTTTCCTATTGTGATTTTGTGATTTTGTATTGGTTACTTTTGCTTGTTAATTTATCCGAACACGCTGATAAGATCCTAGTCCGCTACACAATCCTACCTCTGCCGGAAAAATCCCGGTGGAATAATCCTTTAGCATCACTCGGACCCTGGGGTGTTTTGATGGAGGTCAAAAGATTGGACTGGTTTTCTCAACTCAGTTGCCTGCTCTAGTCCAATGAGAACACGTTGTAGCTTTCAAAAATCCATTTTCATTATGTGAATGCCGGGCTCTAGGACCACCGATATCCTCAAGTTGCTATCCGAATACGTACCCAAAACCACAGGCCATCAGGAACAAAGTTTTACATTGGAGCGTTTTTCCAGTTGTGCCACTCAGCGAAAATGCGGTTTTATCTGAAGTCACCCCCGTTTTCACTCAATCAATGCTGAGTGGTAGACACGTTCACACCTGGCAGATGGTCCAGTCCCTGCATCAAAAACCTTTCGACCAAGATTAGGAGGACCTTAAGGTACCGGCAGAGCAACCAAATAATTCGCTGGCTGAACGAATGGTGTAACGGTTAGAAATGACCAGAAGGCACACTAGCGAACCACGCCTGCTATTACCGCACGCTCACAGAGCACCCGTGGCATATGAAGAGGATAGACGGCAACCAACACGTACAGTCCATGGTGGCCTCCAACACAATGGAGTGGTGAAAAATGACGTACACGGACGACAAACCAGCTACGTTGATCCGTTTGGTGACAAGCTTAAGGGTAACACCTCCGTGGCTGGCCATATTCGACTTACTCACTTTTCTCAAAGCTGCAAATGTTTTCAAACCAGCATAACTTAAGAGCTATATACCCAAGGGGCCCCCCATACATTAACAGGGTGAAACTGAGGACTATGCTGTCCTGAGCCGCAGTAATTTCGCTTGTCTTCGTCGCCTCACTCTTCTCCTCGTTTTAAACCTCTGCTTCACAGTGTCGTTTATTCGTCCACCCACCAACGAAGAATACCCCATGGCGAAGAGATTTCGGCTCCTAACATTTGAAACTCAGTGGTCCGAATAACTGTCCAGTATAACGAAAGTCCAGGAGCAGTCGCATGGACAACATATTCGTTCCCCGCAGCCATTAAAACGAACAAGAACCTCAAATCTGTTATTCGAAAACAGGTCAACATCATCGTATTCTTTCAACTCTCTGTCCTTCTGCTCACCGTAGAACGCTCTGATGCAGTTCCGTCACTCATACATCTATTCGCCGATGTTTTCCCAACCATCTCATCCCTTGTTACTTCCGTATGCTGCTCAACGTTTCTTTGCCCTTGGGCCAACCTCTCCATTTTTGTTCGTCATATGGGTGTGGCAAAATCGATCGATCTAACTGCTCATGAAAATGATAATGGCCTAACTTGGGACTGCAAGGTTAACTCAACCATAGTGATTCTGAAACAACTCTCCGTCAACGTATATCAAAGTGTCTTGCGCGGCCACAGTTTTATAAATATCGTGTTTATCCTCTAAATGGCTGGATGACTCTGAGCCCCCATCGTTGACCTACTCAATGCGCCTGGTCCGCCCATCCAAGTTTGCCCAATCTGGTCAAGATTTTCTGGCGCTAACCATCACCAAACTTTTACCAACTCTTTCTGTACCATTTCTTTTACTTGAAACTCCCCACTCCAGGCACACGTTCCGGAAAATAAAGGGAAATGTTGCCCTTCGTCATGATCATTCTAAGCGTTGTCTCATACCTTGACTACTTATCATGATTGCTGAGCCCATGTCTATTTGCTTGAGGTTATATGTAAACAAGATAATCTAATCCAAAGGCTAACTATGGCTCCTTATCATAACAACTTATGCAATGCCGACCAGGCAAGCCCGCGCCAAAAACTTTTAAGGCACCATTTTATATGATGTCCCGGCTTAGCCGTATTGCATGGTCGCTTTGTTTTGTTTTGATGACCCACTTTTACTCAATGACGAATCTGTAATGTGTAGGGCACATTCGAATTAATCCACTTTGTATCTTCATTGAATGCTCAGCCACGTTCATTTTATAAGAGCAAGCCTATTCTAGTGGTAAACGGTACTAAGGAGTTCCCAATAAACAGAAAGAATTTCTATATAAGCCAGATGTTATGACACAAGCAGAACAATCCCAGGGAGCCTTGACTCAGAATTCACAATAACAAGGTCCACAGGTCCGTATTCCTTCGAACCCCCACCTTCCTCCCTTCCTTCCTACTTTCACGACCTCCGGGAGGCGCAATATTATTCCACTGACGTGAATGAATGGGTCCGGCGGCCGCAGCGGAAGTGTTTGTTTACGCTGCGAATTGCCGCTCACTTATATTATTTGACTGCCTGTCACAGCAGTCGCTCGGAAAAAAGCACCAAGTCCCTTTGAGCCCAAGGATTGGGGGCTTGTGCCGCTCATTAAAAGCACACCCAAATTATGTTGGCTGAGACTATGGGGTCTTTGGAGTTCCGACTTTTACGAAGTGACAAGGTAAATTACCAGTAGAAATGATATCATTCCTACTGGGAATATCACGTTCAATAGGTGTCATAAAGCGTAAGTGCACTCTTGGTAGTAAAAGTCATTCATTGCCAGCTACCTTGATAACGGTAGTCGTTGCCACTCACCTCGACTGCCAGGAACGTTTCTATGTACGACGCTGATTATGTGGCTCCATCTATGCACAGTAGCCCAATCCAATGACCAGCGGTGAGCCCCCACACTGATAAACGCGCACGTCGCAACTTGCCTTGACAATTTAATAAAACTGCCAGGCCCGTGCACAACCAGAATTTCGCTCCTAATTGTCTGGTTACGGATTTGGCAACACCGACACATAGGAACTGTGGCATTTATACAGCAATTGTCATACTCCTGAAGACATCTCTCTTCCACTGCCCCAACAGGATAAGTCTCGGCCATACAACAGCCCGTAATATAGCATAATGCGCACGCTCCCTGATATTCAGGGGGTATACTGATTTAACGCGAGAAGTTTTTCTAACGAGCAAACCCGACCCGGTCCACGTGGTTTCGTGAATTGGCCCAATCTGTTGCACTACAGTCAAAACTAATCCAACTTTGAATGTACGTAAAGCGCTCCACAAATCCGTGTGCCCCTCCTCGGACTGCGAGTGGCTTCTCTAGTGACTGCATGTCCAGGAGCGCGACATTACACTTTTGGGTGCAGAGTGCATTCCAAAGGTATGGGACAACTTTGGTCAGTTCATCCAAAATTACCTGCACTTTCCTCTCTTCTAACATGATTAGGAAAATTCCGTCTGGATATTCCAGATGAACAAGGTTTTCGTCACAGGCTATTTGAACACTAGGGTTCAGGATAAACTTCAGCATCCTGAACGGATACCCTGTACGGAAGCTTTTGGAGCTCTCCATGTCCACCCCTTCCGTACATACCGTATACGATGATTCAGAAGACTGAGTGGTCAACAACTCTCAATTCAATTACGTGCATCCTCCTTACAGGTAATACTACCGTATGCTGAACCTCAAAACCCACCTTCATCGAAAGTGAAGAGGAAAAACAAAAGTGGAAACCAATTTTGTCGGACATGTTTGCTTCCTGCCTAAGCTTGCCCTGGTTGTAGCAAATATCCCGGGTAATCCTCCCATGATCCGAAAAATTCATTGATAAGAAAGGAAAAAATTTTGACGGAGACTCCCTAAATACAAGAGCTATGACGACTCAACTTTTTGCAAAGTCCAATGCTTTTCTTCAGGCGCCATTGCGTCATTTTGAGGTCTCTTCATCGTACAGATAGGCAACAAAAACAACCACCAACGTTTCCTCTTCTTTCGTGTCCATGGAATCTCCTGGCTACCTTAGTTGCGCACATTTGAGCCAACACGGAACCCTCATAGGAACATATGCATACACCCATTCACATCGACCGCACGCAATCTCTGCTCCTGAACATCGAGTACGGTTTTCGTAATCATTCGGTGTCGCCTCATTGCGGTAGTTATACATTGTGACCACTTTCGGCTGCCTGTTATTTCGGGCCGCAGCTCAACTCATACCATAGTGCTTTCAAGCAGAGCTTCGAGACATTTCCTTTTCCAAATTTGAATCCCCATAGGTGGACACGGCTGTCATATTACCTCGTTTCAATGTTGGCGATAAACCATTGTGCGCCTTCGATGGACTCAAAAATATCCTTGAGCCACTCCCGCCCTAATTTGTCACGAATTCTTTGCAACTCCTAACTAC